GCCAGGCCAGGCCTGAGGCTCCAGACGCAGGGCAGTCTCCTCTTCCGTGACCCCGACCTGCCCTTTCATCAGATGAGCTCCTGAGTTCTGGTCTCGTACCACTGCTGCCTTCCCCGGGCAGGGCCAGGCAGGGCTTGTTTGTCTTGCCATTCCCCAGAGTGCCTGGCAGAGACCAAATGCAGGGCTGCCTGCTCACAGCACGCGGGGCACTTGCAATCCTGGGGCCCACCAGATGCTGGGAACGCACCAGTATGCTCACACCCTGCATGCTGGACACACTCACTTTCGAAAGAAATCTTCAAGGCTCCGTTCTCAGAAGGAGGGTTTCCTACAGCAAGTGTGCACCGAAGGGCCTCCCTGGACCCCCGATTCCCATCTGAGACTTTTAGACGTGAAATCATAGGGGCGTGCTAACAACTCAACACGGTGCTACGTGGTGAAGCAGCCCTCAGACGGGTCTGGCTTCAGCTTGCATTTCTCAGTTTCCCTGTCTGTGGGCCCCATCTCACCCACAAGAGCACCTGCACATTGGAGGAGGGAACATTAACACCCACCTCAGGGCAGGCATGCCAAGGCACCCCAAACTTGCCCTCTTTCTCCACCCCCACCCACGCCCCCAAGCAGAGCAGCGAATGCTCAGGACCAGCCACACTTTGGCTGCTGGGCAGGGAGGTCAGGGACAGAAACAGGTTCCAGACAACAGCAAACACACTGGCTAGATGGGGAGGAGACCTGAGGGGGTGGAGCAGGAACCAGAGAGTAATACAAAGGACAACAAAGGGGACACAAAGTTCTCCCCTGCGCACCCGCTGCCCGCTCTCAGGAAGGGCTGGGGTGGATGGAATTAAACAGACTGCTGGTACCCACCAGCCACCTTCCTTATTGGTGGGAACAAGGAGAGCCCAGCTCAGAAAGACAGCCTGGCCTCTCAGCATGGGGAATGGGCCCCCAGGGGTTTTTCACGGCCACAGAAAACACAGTTCCCCTGCCCACCCTCTCCACCCCAACACCTCTTACTCACGTCCTGGCTGAGGGGGATTCTGGCCCCGACACGGAGAAATCCTGGGCTGTTTTTCCCTGTGGCTTGGGTGGTACCTGACACAATGCCTGGGCCCCAGCTGGGCTGGAGAGAGAGGGAGATGGGTGAGGAGAAAGGGAAGTGCTGTGGGCCTCCCATGTAGGAGCACACACATGCTTACCCACTCACACACGCACACACACACACACACACTCATGCTCGGTGCTTGCAGAGATCTAAAACCCCTTTCATCTTAATAAAGGGAAACAGCAAGAGACACAAAGGCAAGGGGGAGGCCAAGCCCGTTGTAAAAAACTTAAGAGCTTGTGGTTGGCTTCCTGGCTTGTGTTCCCTGCTGCAGGGACCTGGGCCTGAGCAACAGGGCCAGGCATCTGCCTGCCCTCCCAAAGCAGGGCCGCGCCAGTCACAGCAACCCAGTTCTTGTCCTTCAAGGAAAGCAGGGGCCTTGACCGGAAGGCCAGGTACAGGCAGCAAGACTACCCCCAGAATCATCTATGAGCACAGAGAGACACCCTCCCTGAGAATGACACAAAACAACACTGACCTACAACCACGTCGTTTTCCAGCCACAGGGATAACGTGATGGTGAGTGATGCCCACGCTCTGCCCTGGCTGCTGCCGGAGGCGGCACCTGACCCATAGCAGGTGTCCTTAAACCAACGACAGGTCCACAGTGGGGTGGGCGGTGAGCAGCCACTGACACTGCCAAGTTCACCGGGACATACTCTTGCCCCGAGGCCACCCAGAAAGAAACAGCCCAAAGCTCTTTAGCTCAGAGGAGCTTACCATGTTGTAGAGGCTTCCCTATGGTAGCCAAGGGGCCAACTCTGGGATCAGAAGGCTGATGTTTTAATCCCCTAATTCAAGATAGAAGAATAGTTCCTACTTATGGCGTGGAAGTCCCATGGTAGTGCCCTGGAAAGGCCATGGTGTTGCCTATGGTACTGGTGATAAGGCCAGGTCTCCTTTCTATTTGTTTGTCCTGCAGGGTGATTCTCAGGTACTCCTTTGAAAAGAGGAGGGTCACCGACATCCCTGCAGCAACTCCAGGAGACGGGATATGGCTAAGATGTCTCCCCCACCTCCATGTTCTCTTTTAAAGGCCTCAGGGGCTGCCACACAGCTGGAGCAGGGCGCCTGGGACCTGGGAAACTCATAGCTCCCCACTCCAGTCTGGCAGCATCCACTAAAAGTTCCTCCTCTCCCTCTGAGCTCCTAGAACAGCGGTTCTCAACCTGTGGGTAGCGACCCCTTTGGGGGTCGAACGACCCTTTCACAGGGGTCGCCTAAGACCATTGGAAAACACATATATAATTACATATTGTTTTTGTGATTAATCACTATGCTTTAATTATGTTCAATTTGTAACAATGAAAATACATCCTGCATATCAGATATTTACATTACGATTCATAACAGTAGCAAAATTAGTTATGAAGTAGCAACGAAAATAATTTTATGATTGGGGGTCACCACAGCATGAGGAACTGTAATAAAGGGTCGCGGCATTAGGAAGGTTGAGAACCACTGTCCTAGAAGGACAAACCAGTGTTGGTGTCTGATGCCCGGCATTAAAGGTGCAGGCACACCATGCATGCTTGCTGAATGAATGCATGAATGAATGGAGTCAGGACTAAGAAAGAACCTTGCCGCCTTTACTCCCAGGAGTAAGAATCCGAAACAGGAGTACAGTGGGAAGTCCTGGATGAAGTAACTTCTAATGTTTTTCTCCTGGGAGGCACCCTGTGATCAGAAAAGCAAAGTGCCAACAGCGGTAAGTGCCTTGGGAAATGTGAGCAACAACCCTTCCAGACGCAGCCCTGGAGACCGACCAGAGCCTGGCTGGCCTCCACGTAACTGCAGACTGACTCACCACCACCATTTACCAAGAAAATAGCCCAGGAATGAACCCCAATGTCAGTTTATCTGACCCCCAGCCGCCTCTCTCCCTGACACCCACTTCCTTGAAATGAAAAGTGAATGGAGGATTGCAGAGTTTGATGAGATTTAGGTAAACGAAGGAGCAGAGAAGCAATCCTAGGCACAGTGATGAGCAAGTCTCCCCTTCCAGAGAAAACCCAACAAGCTGCAAGGCCCTATCACCCGCAGGAGGGTTTAGCAGTAGCATATAGCAACCAACACACCAGATGTAAGCACTGTGCAAAATGCTTCATGTCTGTAGGAGGTATTGTCCCCATTTCACAGATAAGGAAACGAAGGCACAGAGAGGTGAGGCCACTCATTCAATATCTCAGAGCCAGAATTCGAACCCAGGACTAACTTTCTAGTTTTCAGTCTCCCCATGTTGCTGCTCAGTGACCTGGCTTGTGTGTGAAATATCAGACACGCCTACGGGCTTTCCTCCCCTATACTGCTTAGGGAAAGGCAGGTGACAATTTAGGTGGCATTTAGGCAGGAAGCAGGGAATGAGACTTAATGAAGAGATAACGGGAGTGTGACCTGGGACATGAAATGGCTTTTCAGCCCAAAGGATGGGGAAGCCCTCTCCGCAGTGGATTAGGAAAAGGGAGCGAGGGCTCTTCGGGCACTGGGCAGTGGTTTTCGGGGTGGGCCATCAGGAAAGTGGCATGGATGCCCCAGGGGGGTTCTGGAGCAGCATACAGGGGTGTCAGGCATCCCCTGCTCTCCGTCCACACCCTCCATCCCAGGCACACTGTGGTCCTGTCTCCTCAGCGACTCAGGAACAAAGTCTCAGCAAACAAAGGACCTTTTCATGAACTGCAGGCTGGTCCCCTGTCTGCTACTAAGAAGGCTATTGAAACAGGCTCCCAGGAGAACAGTTTGTTATGAGCACGTGGTCTTGCACTAACATGTAGGGCCAGAATTATGGCAACGCCCTCTCTTTGGCTTGATCCAGGCTGATAGGAGACTCTGGCGAATCCACCGCAGGGAAGGCCTGGAGGGAGGAAGGAGTAGCCAGGATGGCTTCAAGGTGAGCCCTCCTCCCAAGCAGTGAGTGTCCCACTGTGTTATCCACCTGGAAGTGAGTCATTTGAAAATTGTGGGCTTTGTATTTTTTCTAGGGATTGCCATCTGAGGATCTCAAGTGCTCTGAATATTATCTGATGCTGGCTGCTACTGTCCCCATTAAACAGATGGGGAAAATGTGCTCCATCAGCGAATATCACAGAGCATGTCACAGCAAGAGGGAACCTGGAGTTGGTGATCTGCCTGTTGCCTTCTCACCTTTGACACTTAGATTTTGTGAGTTTCTGTATGCTACCTTTACGGTCACTGGGCTAGGGTGTCAGCAGAGGCCTGAGGTGGCAGAAAGAGTCAAAGGTTATGGGAGGCACAGATCTGGGTTTGAAGCTCTGTGACTCTGGGTAAGTAGCTTGGCCTCTCTGAGCCTGTGTCTTCACCTATAAAACTGGAATAAGACCTACCTCAAAGGGCTGTTGTGAGGAAGAGAAATAAATATATACGATGGGGCTTGGCTCAGACAGGGTAGGTACTTGATGGATGAAGGCTCCCCCCCCTCCCCCCTGTTTTTTAAAGGCTATTCTACTTTAATGAACAAAAGATCATGACAACTCATTTGAGGACCAGATTCCTAAGCATAATCTGAAAATAATATTCTCTGCTAATGATAAACAATTTTTATTTATAACCCTGAAAAGGCTACATTCATAAAAAATTAGGATCATTTCTTTAGCCACTGATATGCCAGAAGTCAGGGAAGCTATGTTAGAACACCTGAAATTATGGGCAGTTGTGTAAAGCAAAAACTTTAATTGAATACCTTCAAGTTGAAAGACAAGGAAATTCCTGTTCTGAAACCTCTTTAGAGGGAAAACTACCACATCGTCTAGGTTTTTACCTTTCTTTAAGGCAAGGGGTTCTTCCTTTTTTGCAATTTTCATTTGTTGTGCTGGCATTTAACAGTCATTGCTTAGGAATTTTTATCTTAAGGAGAACAGGAGGCATCACCTTAAGAGACATGGTGGAAACCACAAACCACCAAGCATCAGAACTGCCAAGTGAGTTTACTAGTACACACAACGCTGTCTGTCCCCAGGCTTTCCTTTTGGCAGGACACAGAAGACACCTATGGCCGTCCTCTTTAACAGAGGTGTATCTCAGATACCTCCGCATCCCTTCATGAACTACTGGGCAGGAAGGGATTCCAAAGGTTTAACTGAACCATCAGGAATTCCAAGGGGCGTGCTAGAGCTGGGTAAGAGGTGACCGGTGAGACCTTGCTTCTATTTCCAACCTCTGGGGCAGTGGATTCCGGACATTCCTCCTCTCTGTGTGTATTTGACCACACAGCTACATGTGGCCACTGAATCCCTAGCATAGTGCCTTGCCTATCGTAGGTTCACAATACATACTCGCCCAATCAGTGAATGAAGGTTTTCCCTCAGTCAGGCCCCAAAACCCCCCATAGTAAGGACCTAAGTATCCTTGTTTCTCACTTTCTTTGGGGGTGAGGGTGAAGAAGAGGGAAGCCACAGTTCTGATGTCCCCATCCCTGTGTAGAAGGGAGGCCCAGAAGCCCCTGTATGGAGTCATGCTCTTTGCTCCCTGTCACAGCTCAGAGAAGAAAACAAGACTGCAGCTGTCAGCACTGTGCTCTATTCCCTTGGGCCAAACCCAAGGCCGGAAGACCAGCCCCCAGTTGGCTCACAGCCCAGATCTGGGACCTGCAGCCCCTCCCTCTTCTTGCCCGTCCTCTGAGAAACACACCTGTGATGTTAGGCCTTCTGTGCTCCTCTGTCTTACAATTGGGGTGGTTGTTTGTTCCTCCTGGTCTACCTTAAGGTGGAGGTGCTGTTGCCTTGGGCAACAGTGATGTCACCTGCAAAGTGCTTCCATTCTGCTGATGTCATGGGGTGGGCCAACCGATTTGAGGGGGGTTTGCTTTCTGCCAGAAAACACCACAGGTCTCAAACTGCTGAGGAGGATCCTGTAGACCTCTTGGGCACTCCCAAATGACCTTCTTTCTCTCCCAGAAACCTTTCTGACCCTTCTCTCCCATCTGGCTGCCTGTGGCAGGCCAAGCCTCAAACCTGACCTTCCCTCTCCCAGAGCTGACTGAAAGGTCAGGACAAGCAGCTTTGCCCTCAGTTCTGAACAAAGGACACACAAGGGCACTGATGATCTCCTTCTCACCATCTAGGACAGTCTGGGTCCCTGTGACCTTGTCCTTTGCTCAGATCTCAGAGGAGGGAGCAGTGGTACTAATGGGGAAGCTAGGGTCCCAATTTGGCAGAGAATGTAGAATCTCCATTGACCTCTACTATCTTTAAGAGCTCATATGAGCCAGAGTGTCAGTCTGTGCCAGGCACTGTGCTTAGCTCTTTCCATGCATTTTACTGATGATGAAACCAAGGCTTGGAAAAGTCAAGGCAGTTACCTCAATACAGAGAACACCCAACCACTGAGTGGTGGAGCCAGGATGCAACCCAAGTTTGCCCTCCTCCTGGGTCACACCTCCATGTCTCTGGGGCAACTGGAGATGGCAGCTTACTAAAGATGGGCCACGAGGGGGCCTGGACGGAGATAAGGGAGAGCCCTTTAAATTCAAAGAAGCCAACCAGGATGCCCAGGTGGCTGGGGAGCTAAAGTAATCACCTGCCTTAGGACTGCCTGACTCCATGCTGACGCAGGGGCTGCAGTTTGGTGGCCAATCTTGGCCCTTCCACTTCCCCCTGCAGCAGTGCATATTAGGGACCAGGTTCCTCTTTTTGTGGTTGGCTACCTATTGACTCATCCAGGCCACCTGACTGTCCTCTTGATTTGCATATAGCATTTACCCCTGTGGCCTGAAACTCCAACCCTAAATCTGCCTAGTAGTTAAACTTATGCAAATGCAATTTGAGTGGCTGGGAGCTAAAACTTATAATGCACTAAGCAAAATAAATAAAAATTGCTCAATTACAAAAAAGAAAATGGGGAAATCCTACCAGGTAAACACTGACTTTGGGGAACTAACCAAGGAAATGCACATAGCCAGGATTCTGGAGTACTGGTCTACCTGGCAGGTGTTTCTCCACTGGTGAGAGGCCTACAGAGGCAAACAAAGCCCCATGCTTTTGGACATCACTCCTCAACTCCCCTCCGCCCCCAACCTTGACTCCAGCTTTGTTAAACACAAGTTGCCTTCTAATCTTTGGTTTCCCACGTGGCTTGCCCAGGATGCAGGGAACAGATAGCTTGCCCAGGATGCAGGGAACAGATAGCATCCAGTCTGCACCACAAGGTCTCCTTGAAAAATAAAAATAAACTAGCATTCTGACTTGTATACCCACTTCTGGGAGCTTTCTCAAGGTAACTCAATAGCCAAAGTCCAAACCACTCTGGAAATTGTGGAGATAGGGTTTCTGAGTGGGTACAACTAAGAGCCAGACCCTGGGACGGGTCTCATGATCCAGGTAAACACTACCGTTATGGGAATTTGCTGGGCCAGCCCTTCCCAAGAGACATTAAGACATTGAGAGCCCGGCCTGTGTGGCTCCATGGTTGAGTGTTGAACTATGAATCAGGAGATCGCAGTTCGATTCCCCGTCAGGGCACATGCCTGAGTTGTGGGCTCGATCCCCAATGTGGGGCATGCAGGAGGCAGCCAATCGATGATTCTCTCTCATCATTGATGTTTCTCTCTCTCTCCCTCCCCCCGCCCCCGTCCCTTCCTCTCTGAAATTAATAAAAATATATTTTTTTAAAAGTCATTGAGAATTCCTTATTGGCTGAGAAGCCTGGTTTGTTTAACATGCTGTCTGTCTCTCTGTCCGTCTGTATGGAGAAAAATGCGCCACTCCAGCTAATTAAGTGCTGAGATGTATAGCGCGGAAAATAAGTGATCATAAAGATGGAGCTGTGAGGTACAAGTTTTGGGAAAGGTTTCCTGAATGAGCTTGGGAAGGGTGCTTGCAGGTGAACAGGATCTGGAAGGGGATGGGGCTGGGGGGAGGGGCAGATGTAGGAAGTGTCAGGACAGCATGTTTAGACACTTCCCACTTTGTTCCATTCCTGGGGGAGTTCTCTGCCTAGGTGAGGGCTCCTGTGTAGCTGTGGCCTTTTCCCTCTGTGCCACACCCAAGTGGCACTTACTCATCACCCTCATGCCAGGCCCCAAACTGGATTTGCCACCTCACACCGCCCAGTTATTGAGAAGTCGTCTGATGCTTGGGCCAGGCCTGCCATCAGTCATCAAGGCTGGGCCTGCCTTCTTCTTTCTGTGCCTTTCTTCTGCCAGAAGAATTTCCCATCATTTCCTCTGTCTGAGCTGAGAGTGGATGTTTCTTCCCTTGATAAAGAAAGAAAAAGGCAACTGCTCTTCCCTCTTTCCCCCCATAAGAGACCTCAAGCAAACGGTTTTTAAGCTTAACCTGCTTCTTGTGCTGGGAATGCTGCTCAGTGGTTGGGACTCAGCTTCCAGGCTCCTGAACACTTTACTGTGCTGTGCCTTAGTTTCCTCATCTATAAAATGGGGATAACAATACCTAATGTCATAGGGCTATGGTGAAGTTTAAACGAGTTTAATACAGGCCACGTGGGTTTTTTTGGGGGGGGAAAAAAGCCCAGAAAATGTTAAGTCCTTAATGACTGTTGGTTATCAAGGCTGCTGTGTGTGGCTGGAGAGGTGGAGTACTGCTCAAGAACACCCGGCGGGGTGGCGAGGATAGGTCCAACTCACGTGCAATTGCCCAGCTGAGTGCCCAGGCCGTGTCAAGATGAGACTCCTTTTTCTAAATGGCACCAGGGAAACACCTTCTTGCCTTTAGAGGGAGCACCTTTTTTCTAATTCTCATAAAGGATGGAACCAGCAGCCCTGGGGGTTATTTTTACCCTCTCTCAGCATCCTCCTGGCGATATCCTCCTCCCCAGCAAGACTGGATTAGAGGGGAGCCCAAGATGGACTGGTCTCAGCCGTACATAAGGACCTGCTCCTCAGCTCCCCAGCACACCGGGTGCACTTGCCCCCACCTAGGACATTTCTGGGTTAAAGCCTCCCCCCCAAAGCCCCACAGGCTGCCCTACTCCCTCATCCCCACTGAGGGGACTCTCAGCCCCAAACATGGAGTCACAGAGGCTTAACCTCTGAAAGGACTCTCCTCGGTCACTGTTGATGGCCACCGTCTCTGCTGAATGATGGGCAGCGCATACCTACCGAGGAGCTCGAGTTGTTGGCAGGTTCCTTCTGACTTCTCAGTAAGCTCCATTTCCCTGCTTCTCCTAGCCAGCGAGTCTCTGAGGCCAGGCAGAGCAAGTCTTTTCTCAAGTGAGAATACTTGAGATTCCTAAAGGTCACAGCCCTGAGCCGCCAGGCCTCTGATCCTTAGGGGAACTATTGCCTGTTCATTCCTTTCTCCCTCACAAGCATACCTTTCAGAACCTGCTCACCATTCCACCTCCCCCCACCGTGGACATGTACCCATCTGGCAGTGGTGGTATCCTTCGAAAGAAGAGACATTAAGAAGGGAGTTTCTGTACTCCAGTGGACGAACTCTACTCTTCCTGGGCTCTGTGCCCAGGATGCTTGTCACTGCCTCCACCAATATGTGTACCCCCTCCATCAGACAGAACCTCCCCCGCACACTTTCTTTCTCTTTATTGACCCGAGGAGCTCAAGAGGGAAAAATACAAAACTAGGTTCCTCCCAGACAGTGCCTTCTCAGATGGACAAGTTTGCCATAAGTCTCTATCCAGCAGTTCCTCCCTGAACTTGCCCTTGGATAAAAAGTCCACCCACATACCCTCCTCTTTGTTCTCCTCATGGGCACTGCAGAAGCTGAGAGCCTGTTCCTGGAAAGGTGACAAGTTCTGGGATGAAGGCATCCGGTTAAATTTCAGATCCTTGTCCCCTGCTGGCTCGAGCTTGAAACTGCTGCATCCTTGACAGTTCTGGAGCCGGAGGATGGCACTGGAGCAAAAGCCTTTCCATCCACCCGGGAGCGAAAGCAGAGTCAGTACAACCACTTCACGGTTACCCACAAGTGGAAACCATAGGTTCAGAATGGCCTGGAGTAGCAGCAGCAGACGCAGGGAATTAGCAAACAATGAAAGCCACTTAGGCTGGAAGGAGGACTCAAAAGCACAGCCTATTATGTTATCAGTCAGGAGGTGAAGGGCAGCAGTTCTACAGTGTGCCGTGCCATTTACTGGTGTAACCTGGACCTGGGCCTTGCACAGGGCACCAATTAGCTTTACCTGGCAGCCTCTCCAAGGCAGAGCTGGTTTTTGAAAGGGAAGGGCCCTTGGTCAAATCCAAAAGAGGAACAAGAAAATGGAATACAACTCCGAAACTGATTGAGATCCCAAAGCCCGGCGCCAGGCTCTGCCAAGTACCTGGTGCTCTTCTAGTTTTGAAAGGAGGCTCCTTCTCACACTAGACAGAGGGGGGAAAGCAAAGTGCTATCACAGAGAGTAAAATATTTTCCCTTCCTGGGGCAGCATTTTTTTTTTTTTTTTTTTTTTTTTTTTTTTTTTTTTTTTAGAGAAGGACCTTCTCCAATCGGAAGCCCTGCCCCAGAGCTTTCAGATGGCACAGAAAGGTGGAGACACTGGGAAAGGTTGGGGTGAAGTTATGGGTCAGATGGCAGAGACCTTGCAACCCCAAGAGAAAGTTCTGCGCAGCGTGGGATCTCCTTCACTAAGAGTCTCAAAGAGGAAGCGGCGGGGGCTTGGTCCGGCCCCAGCAACCTCACAGTTTCACTACCCTAAACGGAGAAAGAATAGCAAGCTCCACTCCTGCTCCCTCCTTCCAGGAGGGGGAAGAAAGCGGGAAGAGAGCTGGCCGGTCTTTGAGCCCCAGTACTCAGCTCAGACGGTGAAAAGTAACGGATCGTCGGGCAGGAGGAACAAAGACGTGGTCCCGCTTCGGGCGCTTGGAAGAGGAGCCGCCCGCCCGCGATGGGGGCTGGAGCCCAGAGTGGAACGCGGGACCCCGCGCAGCGCGAGGAGGAATCGTGAACCGCAGGGGACAATGCGCCCGGTTTGGCACCGGCGCTGCACAGGGTCTCCAGAGTCAGCCCCTGACATAGGGACCTTAGGAGACCCCCTCGTCCCGCATGCAGCCCCGGCACCCCCGCCCCAAGACGCCATCTCGGCGCAGCTCCGCCTCGGCCCCCGTGGCCATCGCCTCCTTCCACCTCCCACCCACGAGGAGGACGCAGAGCCTCGCGGCCGCCGGCAGAAACTTACCTTTAGCCTCCGTCCAGCTCGCCGTCGCGGGAGGACCGCGCGGGCCGGCTGCACTCGGGGTCCCCAGGGCCTGGGCGCCGCTGTTTGCTGCGTTTGCAGCGGAGGTCCGGGTGGGCGACTAGACGATCGGGGGCGGAGACACCCCGGCCTGCTCCCGCCTTCTGGCCTCCATCTGCCGCGCTCTAAAGGGCTTCGCAGTTACTCATTTCCTGGATGTCACAGAAACTTTTCCTCCTTATAAGAACGAAACACCCGCCTCTCCTCTCAGCCACAGCCGCTCCTTAAGGAGGAGCGCGCGAGTTAGGGACGCCGGGCCCAGGTCCGCCGCGGAGGTCTGTCCCTTGACCGCCCCCCGGGAACTCCAGAGGGGGCAGCAGAACTGGAGGGTGACCAGGAGGGACGGGGTCTGGCCATCAGAGTAAACGGGGGGAGGGGACAGGGAGTCGGGGAGGACTCCCTTAAAAGTCGGTCCCAGTGGATGCTCACCTAACCGTGCGTTTTCCGCCCGCGCATTGTTTGGGAGTTGGATTCCAGGGGACACCTCTTTTGTCCTCTGGAGGGAAATATAAATACAGAAACAGTGCCGGCCCTTTTCTCCTCTTCGGCTGGAAAAGCTTAAAATAACTCACCAAATTTCATGATAAACGAAGGCATCTTGCCTCTCTCCCCTAGTAACTAAGCACAAAGGAAAGCGAGGATTTTAGATGCTTTTATCTGCAGAGGGCGCTTTAGTTTCCAAAGTCTGGTAACAGTTGTGAAGTTGGCTAGACTTCTGTTTTAGACACCAGGGAACTGAGGCCAGGAGGGCAGCACCGCCCTGGTGGGACTTAGCGGGTTGAAATCCATAACCTATGACCTTTGTGACCTGCCCAGATTCCACAGCCAGCAGAGGTGACCAGGAAGGGCTGAATTAATCCTACATAAAGTTGCTTTGGGGGAGTCAAACACCAGTGAGGGCAGGTTGGGGATGTTAGGAGAACACCCAAGTGATTATCACCATTGCTACTCCCCCCAGAGCCCAGTCCTCCCTCGGGGGCCTGAACCTCCCTCCCAGGACCCATACCTCCATCCGGGCCTCAGTCCTACATCCGGGTACCAGACCTTCATGCCAGGGCCCAGAATGCCATCCTGGGGACTAGTCCTCAAACCCAGTATCCAGTCTTTTATCGGGGTCCTACCTCCATAGTAGTCTAGACCACCATTCTATGCCCCAATGCCCCAACTTCTGACCCAGACCTTCCTTAGGGGCCCGAACCTCCCTCCCAGGGCCCATACCTCCATCCAGGGCTCGGACCTACATCTGGGTCCCACACCTTCATGCCAGGGCCCAGAAGGCCACCCCAGGGCCCAGACGTTGAACAAAGCATCCAGTCTAGTAGTGGGGACCCAGAACTCCATCCCTAGTCCAGACCAGCATTTTTTGATCCAGAGGTCGAGCCAGAATCCCTCCCAGGTTCTAGACCTCCCTCCGGGGCCTGTACCTCCCTCTCAGGGCCCATACCTCCATCTGGGGCTCAGACCTACATCCGGGTCTCAGACTTTCATGCCAGGGCCCAGAAGGCCTGCCCGGGGCCCAGACTTCGAACAAAGCATCCAGTCCAGTAGTGGGGGCCCAGACCTCCATCCATAGTCCAGACCACCATTCCTTGACACAGGGTTCGAGCCACACCTTCCTCCGGGACCCGTACCTCCTTCTCAGGACCAATCCCTCCATCTGGGGTTAGACCTACATCCGGGTCCCAGACCTTAGTGTCAGTTCCTAGTATGCCATTCTGCGGCCCAGACCTCAAACCAAGAATACAGTCCAGTATTGGCGGCCCAGGCCTACATCCTTAGTTCAGACCACCATTCCATGACCCAGAGGTCCGGCCCCTTTCCCAGACCTCTACCCGTGGCCCAGACTGCCCTCCAGTGGCCAGACCTCCTTCCCAGGACCCAGACTTTCAGCCAGTCTTCAGACCTACATCCAGGTCCCAGACCTTCATGCCAGGGCCCTGAAGGCCATCCTGGGGCCCAGTCCTGGATGCATTATCCAGTCCTTTATCAGGGTCCAGACTTCCACAGTAGTCCAGACTACCGTTCCATGACATAGAGGTCCAGCCCCTGTCCCAGGTCTCCACCCAGGGCCCAGACCACCCTCCAGTGCCCAGACCTCCCTCCCAGGACCCATACCTCCATCTGGGGCTCAGACCTATATCCAGGTCTCAGACCACCATGCCAGGGCCCTGAAGGCCATTCTGGGGCCCAGTCCTCAAACCCAGTATCCAGTCCTTTATCGGGGTCCAGACCTCCACAGTATCCCTGATCACCATTCCATGACCCAGAGGTCCAGCCCCTGACCCAGACAGGGGGAGAAGGAAAAATTCTAAATATAGACCCCCTGGTGCTTGCCCTGGGTTACTCTTGTTTTCCAGCTTCTGCTGCTACTTACATCAGGCGCAGTGATGGCAGTTTGGGGACCTGGTTTTGGAGGTTGGCGGGGGGAGGCGGGAGTAGAGAGAATCTGGGGAAATAGTCTTGAAAGACGTGTTTTTCTGCAAGCTGAATGAATGGGAGATGGGGACACTACACCGCGCGTCACTATACTAACTTGTAATCCTTGGGGTAAGAGTGGAGGGTTATGGATGCTGGAATGCCAAAGCGAGTGCTGGGATGCCCCTTGGACTGTCATCAGCAATTTCTAACTGGCTGTGCATATTTATTTATATAAGGAACATTGATTAGATTTGTTTTTCTTTTTAACCTGATGATATCCCTCCATGTGGTCTCCTTCATTGGCTTCCCTCTGCTCTCAGCATAAGGACCACTGTTCTAACCTGGCACATGAGCCATTCATGAACTGGCATCTATTTAGCTCCCCAACCTCATATCTCAGTTCATGTTCCACACCAAACTCCTGGCAGTTCTTGGAACATGTGCTTCTCAGAATGTGATGCTTGGTTTGTCCCCACCCACCTTGGGTATACACATGTGCTTTATCTTTTGCCGGCAACCTTCACCCCACCTCTTCCTTCATCCTGTCCCCCTCAATGCACATTACCCCTGCCCCAGCATATGTACTCAGTTTCAAGTCTTCAGGTGTCAGATTGGACAATTTCTTTTTTAGGGAGTCTTCCTTGAACACCCACACCTGGATTAGATACCCCCTCCACCCCCCAATGTAGTTTCCATAGCACTTTGTGATTGCTCTAGAAAGGGTTTTTTAAAAGACAGGAAAGTACAAAGGATTCAGTTTCTGGGAACATGAGAAGCCAAGAAGTCAGGTAACCTCTGCTTCAAACACCGAAGTGCTGAAAAAAAATCAACAGTTGGAAGAAAGAGGGGGCAAATCTCTAGTTATGAGATAGGAGGAGGGATAAGGGTATTTGACAGGAATATAAGCCCAAATGGCTAAGGACTAGGAGGTGAATAACCACTCAGGCCTTGTGTTCTAGAAAGGCAGAGATCTGGACTTGAGAACCCCACTTAAATCGGGGACACTGGAAAGACTCTTAGTGACTGCAGAACGGAAAAATACCAAGAATCCTCCCACTGGTCCAAGGCCACAGTGAGGAAGTTTGTGGTTTGTCTGGGGCTCTGGATGAATTTTAAAAAACGACTGCTAGCGAAACTGAAACCAGAGTTTGCCTATGCCATTCATTGGTGTGAAGTTCCAGCTTATAGTACCCACGTGCTGAGGGAATTCTGAAGTCAACACAGACTTCAAAGTGACCCCCCTGGCCCTGTCAGAAGCAAATGCAAAGTCAGTTGTTTATTCTGATCTTTCCCAGAATGAAGAACTCCCATGGATGATGAGTTTATAATAAGAAATTATAAACCAAAGTAGGAAATGAACTACGTGAGGGATGGATCAATAAAGAGGAGAATTAGCCCCTTAAGAACTTGAGACAATGGAACAATTTGCAAGGGACAATAGAATAGTTATGTTCAAAATAATTATAGAGTCAAAATGATAGAACATAACACTATGAAAAAAGAATAAGCAAATTTTAAAAAACACACAAAACATATAGAAATAAGTATTTAGTCATTTTGATTTTAAAACCTCAATGGTTGGAGTGTTTGGTTGCAAGTAATAGAATATCTGACTATAATTTTGTGTGTTTAGGACTATAAGAGATTTAAACAATCAGGGCTTAATTTTTAGGTCTGTAGATAGGTAGCTGCATTGGCTCAATGCTTCGATAGTTTGGGGACTGGTCAAAGTTATGTACACTTACTGTTTTGCTATATTGCAAAATTGTCCTCTAAAGGTGTGTCACTGATTTGGACTCACCAATTAAATATGAGAATGCCTGTTTCTCTAAATCTTTTTCAGCATTGGCTATTTCCTAACTTTAATTAGTTTGCTTCTTTTATAGGTGAAAAAAAAAATGATATCCCAATGTCTTGATCTGCATTTCTTTAATTATAAGTGAGGCAAAATGGAACATTTTATTTAATGAAACTTTTCTATTTGTAAATAGTCATAAATTCACCTATTTTTCTGTTGGCTTGTTTTTCATGTGTGTTTTTCATGATCTTAGGTGCTAGTTATGACTTCAAATTCTACAGTGAGAGGTGAGTTGTGATAAACACTGGACCAACCATGGGCAGCTACACACTGTACTTCACCATCAGGAACATTGGTGATAAAAACAAAAGAACAAACATGGGGACAGATTTCCTGTTCACCCCCAGCTGTGGTTATCCCAGTAAATGGAATAAAATACATGACAATGGGAGAGACAGGAAGCCAGTGTTAGTTATGAAGGGTCTGATGGATGGAAAAAAAGAACATTTTCCTTGATTTGGCCAATTTCTCACCATCATGAATTCACCTTTGCATGCAATTTTGAGAGATGATAACAAGTTGGTTTACAGGATGTATCATTGGAACAGACTGCTTGGCTGAGACCTCAAAGGTGTCAGTTGAACAGGATGAATGATTTGCCATTGGCTATTTCTTTACTCAGAGTCTGTCCTGGGAACTCCTCCACCTCCTCTAGGCATGTTGGAGCCAGCAGGGCCTATTTACCAACATAAATGAAGCCCAGAGAAGTTAGGTCACATATAAAGGTCACCCTTTTGCTTAGAGACAACATAAAAATA